TTTGTTTGTTTTGTTTTTTTTTTGTTTTGCAAAGCTTTTGACCTACACAGTCATCTTTAGGGGAGAGTCCATCGTATACGAAAAAACCAAGAGAATATTAACAGCGTAGGATAGAAACGTATGGCGTTATTTCCAAAATTCGTGTTTCATTTTTATACATGCTGATCGTAAAATGCAACCTTTCAAAAATTGATTTCAAAAATACAACAGTTCTAGTTAGACCAATAATTGCAAGTCATAAATAAAAAGGTCATCTTTAAAGTATTTTCTTAATATCCTCCCCAGCCCTGGAACACTAAAAAGGCCAATTGTAATTGATTCTCATCCTGGGCCATTTAAAACTTCAATCACTGCTGAACCTGCTCCTAGTTTATCGACTGTCTTAATAGATATCGAGCAGCTTGAACAGCTGCAAGAGATGTTTCCAGATTACAGTACCGATGAATTACAAACTGCCTTGACTGTACATGGAACAGTTGCCAGAACAGCTTTAGCATTAGCCAGTAGTATGCTCAATGTATCAGATAACACTGATCATGACTATGAGGATGATGATGACACAGAACTAGAGAAACCAGTTTTCCTCCCTAAAGAATCTGCTCAGTATGTCTAAGGCATGGCTATCGAACGAAATTTAGACCCCCGCGAAGTTTGCGACCTAAGAGGACTGGGCGCTAGGTTTCCCTGACAACGCATGCGAATTGGATTTTAAATGGCCGTTGAAGAAGGGACTCGATCTTTTTATATTTCAACTTTCAAAATGGTCGTTACACGGTATCTTTTTGTAGTTAAATGGGAAATCGACTTGTTCATAAGACTATCATAAGCCATCTTGAATTGCTTGGGAAGGATTTCTTTTACGTTTATTTCGAAGTATCTTCGAAGATGAACATTACCCAATATGAATGCCGTAGCTTACAGACATAAACTAAACATAAACATACATAAACATTAAACTAGCGAAGTTTATCTTTGCTTGTACTTAATGTATGGAAATTGTCCAGTATAAGGATGCCGAAGTTTCATCAACTAATGCCAAGCTTTAAAGGTAAGATTTTTATTCTATTTCGTTAATGTATTTTTAATCTTAAAACCGGTTAAGATTAAATTTTTTAATGTGCCTTGCATACTAAAAGAACATAAAGTTAAAGCCTTATTTGATTCCATATCTTATTTACATGTCCATCTGACTGTTCTCCAATAGTTATCTATTTACAATTATTTACAAGAGTAATTTCTAAGTCTCTAGTTTTCTGCATATCAAAAAAATTAAGTTGAGGCCTTATTTGAGTGTGATGTCTATATCTTATGTACATGTCAATTTGACTGTTTTCATCTATTTACAAGATTTGAGCAGTTAAATCAAGGTATTTTAACATAATAGTCATATTTCTTAAAAAGTAATTTTCCAATTGATCAACAAGGCATTGGCATGCTTTATTTTCTTTAAAAAGAAAGAGCTTCCACTGTCCCTTTTCATGTCCTCAAGTGATGGAGCTATGAGATCATGATTCATGACATATTCTTTCTCCCATGCTTTTAGCTTTTTTTCTGCTATCGACTTTTCTTTTAAAACCTTAACTTGCATGTTTGCGAGATCTGCTTTATATCTCTGTTCCAAATGTGTGTCTCTCTCGTGTTTGTTTTGTTTGGTCATTTGTTTCAGCTTGTAATGTTGGTTGTCTAAACTTTGTACTTCTTTAGTGTGACCAATTACAACTTTAAGTGCTTTTCCAAGGGTTGTCTTCAGTATTGCAATATTACATTGTGTAGGATCTATCACTTCTTGCTCATTTAGTTTACTGCCTGTGGATTTAGTTGTGTGATGTGGAGAGCTGTGTTTTGCCTGCTTTGAAACAGAGTTGCTTGGGCATTCACTGTTTTCATTCGGTGGTGATAGTGAAATGTTGTCTTCAAAGCTGATGATTTCATCGTGTTTGGGATAGATATCTAGGACAACTTCTTCTTCAATGACCTCTACTTCATCTTGTGTTGGCTGTGCAGATATACACTCTTGTGTTTCCTGGTTCTGTCTATTTTTGTGTGTATCTATGAAGCTGTTGTTAGTAGTTTCTGAAAYGTTTGTAGGTGGCAGAGATTCAATTTCTTTATCAATATCAAGGTTAAGGAAGTTGGTGTTGAGTTTAGTTGTTGTGCCATCATGTTCATCAATACGAATGATATTGGTTGGTATGACAGTATTCCTTCTGATGCATTCTTTCCAACAACCCTCAAGCAAAGAGGCCTCATGTTCAAGAGAGCTTGAGCGAAAGTGATGAAGTTGAGGACCAGCTTCTATTGGGGAAGGTTGATTGGTAACATCATAGAACTCGACGTAATCTTCATTCTGGCCCCACCATACCCCCTCTTCTTCGAGCAAAAAATCACTAATTTGCTGAAGATGTGCTTTCCATTCTCTGTGGTGCTTGATGATGATGGCTTTGGGAAAACATGTGTTGGATGCTGGTGGTAAGGATTTGTAGAGCTTACTTATTTGGGATTGCTGTCTGGCAACATCATCATCATGTAGCTCAAGCTCCTTTTCAGTTTGCAAACGGATCAGCAAATTAGGAATAATTTGTCCAGGGTGGTAGTTGCTGGTCTGCTTGGTAATGCGCTTGATGGTGTTAAATGTCCTTTCTTGATCCTCAGCATTACTTGCTAGACCAGAGATAAGGCGCAGCATAAGACAAGCATGTGCAGACAAATTATGGTAGTACACACCAAACAGCTTGCGCATTGTAAGCTTTTTTGGCTTCTTGATTATTCTCTTTAGYAGAATACAGTGGTACCAGGCCTGGTTAAGGTAGCGAAGAATGAGGGCTGGAGAACGTTTATCTTCTGAAGAATRTCATATTTCTTGCATTTGTACCAAAGTGTCAATCAAGGCTAGTGCTTTTGTTGACATGATGTTAGATTGATGAGCCATAGCAGCTGTCTTTACTAGAGCAATCCTATAGTCAATCGTTCTCTTACTGTCCTTGTTTCCAAGGGTTAACTCTACGCACTCATTGAATTGATTACTTGGGACTCAGCCTCTGATAAATGGCAAGGTAATTCTGTCAGGATATTTTCTATGTGGTGGCCAATATCATGCAGTGGTTCACATGGTAAAATTTCAAATTCACCAAGGCACAGGGAATCAAAGGAGGATTCTGGTGTCTTGAACACCAGCGCAGGAACTCTTTGCTTGCCACGCAATGCTTCATCTAGCATTTCTTGCAGATCTTTTTTGTTCCCGTCTTCAAAGTTACCTCGTGAACCTAATTCCTCTCCAATTTCTGCTTTGCTGAGATCTTTGAGGGGTTTCACCTTGAAGAGTAAGGACTTTCGTCTTCCAACAGCTCCCTGCATAATAACATCCTTCTTTGTTTGTAGTGATTCAACCTTGCAGCTGAGGGCATGGTCTATATCTTGTACCATGACTGCATGAATACCACATGTGGCACAGAAATAATGGCCACCCTTTTGTTGACCTGCCTCACAGGCTCTTTGTGGACTATCTCCATGGCAAAATCTCATGACATCATTGTATGGAACAGAGTTTATTGAAATATTTATATCAAGTTCTTGGATGCACTGAAGTCTTGTGTCAGTGTATAACATCTGTTCTTCGTCTGAACTACCGCTTCGTGCAATGAAATGCAGTTCTGGCTTTTCAATGACTTTTTGGATGTTTACATTTTGACCAGTTAAGATTTTGTACTCCTTGCCTGTGTAGAATACAGCTGGGTCATAGAGACAGGTTATCATACAAACTAAATAGCCATGGTTAGCTACTGTGGAATTGTCCATCCAAACAAGCAAACATCTATTTCTTTCCATTTCCTTCAATTTGCTTCTCATTTCATTCATACTCWAATCTTCCTCATCATTCAATTCATGAAGTTCTTTAAGTCGTCTCCTAAGCTGATCTTCTGTGAAGGCTTCATACTGCTGGTCTGTTAATTTTCTTAAATATGGTTCTTGTTTTTGAAGCATTTTCTTTCTTATCTCTGTCAATGGTATCTTTCTTCCTTCTGTTGTGAATTCTTTTTTCTCGGTTTTGAGGTCTTTGTTGAGAACTAGTTTTTCATACTGAAAGAGAAGAATTGTATTAATTTGTTTCATAAATTTTTTTTTTTTTGAATTTTAGTAATTTTAAATCCTGTAAATTTGGACATATAAATTAATGACTATCTTAAACTTTGCTCAGTACAGTAAACATAATGATTGCCAATGAACTTAAGGTAATCATTAGATCCACCTGTCAAGTAGAGCACAGTCAATGTCACTATCAGAGTATGAATAATATTTACATTGTATCTTTAGATTGCATGATTGAGWAGGCTATAGTAATAACTTGTAATGCAGTAATGTAATGTCACTTAAGTGTTAAATAGAACTTATACCTTGCATGGGACTATCAATTCACCAACAGTGTATTCTCCAGACTCTATTTTATCCCTTAGCTTCTCTTTTAATTTTTTTCTTGTAATCTCTGTGGGAACACTTATTTCACCACCTTTGCCTTTTCTCTTTCTCCTCCTAATAACTTGATTCTTGTCATCTTTGTTTACACACATCTTCAAACTAGAGAGGTCCACACCTTCTGAAGTTAAATATTCTTTCACGATTTGGCCTCCATTTAAAGGCTATCTTGCCAGAACTGTCACAAACATTGAATCTTCTTGCTAATTCACTGTAATCAATTATATGGCCATCTGGTAGGTCTTCAATCTCACTCTTTAAATTTTCTTTGTCCCAGACCATTGTGTCAAATTTCCCTGTGTGATCCTTTTTTTTTTTTCTTTGAAGGATTTTGATTTTCATCATTTTCTGCTTTTCTTTTCTTTGCAGTTTTCTTCAACTCAAAAGATGATGGCATTCGATGACGCTGCCATGCATTCAGTGACTGCCCGTCACCGTAGCACCTTATAATGAAAGGGTCATAAGAACATTAATTTATCTAGAAGATTGTTGTAAGTTTTTATATCAGATTTTTTGACCCATCTTATGATAATTACATGTACATTACACTTTATGTACAAAAATTATATTTGCATGTAGCTAATACAAGTATATTAGATATATATTATTTATCATGTCAAATAATTTAAGGCCACACGATTGTATGATCTGTGTGTCATCTAGTACCTGGCATTAAATGATTATGTAATATTTTATGCACATAATAAATTACATACCTCAAACAAGCAGTATTCTCCATTTGTTCTTCTACATTTTCCTTAGCAGTGCGATAGTGATTCCTTCTGTCTTCCCTTTTTTCATTTGCTGTTTTGTATTGTAAATCCAACTCTGGAATCTTTGACAGACTTTTAGCAAAATCAGCTTTAYATGTTTTTTCAAACAGTGGAGCCACTTTATCATAGATTGCTTTCGCAGCATTTGTTATGTTTTTGTGTGTGGGCTTTGGAGGGGACGGCTCTTGTGCTCTGATCCTGTTGACCTCTCCAACAGCTGCTAGAACTGTATTACTTTGCTTTGCTTTTCCTTTCAAAAAAGATGACTTTACACTAAAGAAAGCTTGAATGTGTGGATATCGAATCGCACAGCCTATACAATCAATAAATGAATGTTCTCTTTTTCGATTAGTTGACATTGTTAACCAGTTCTTGTGAGAGAATGTCTCCAGGTACTTTTGCTTTTCATCAGCTTTTCTAAAGTTCCACTTATTGATGGCATTTCTCAAACCAGGTAACCTTTTGTGAAACTGCAAAGCTTCAATGGAGAATTTCTCTGAACAATCGTCGAATCTATTCTGAAAACCCTCGTAGATCTCCTGCTTGATTCGAGCCTGGTACTTGGTGCTGCTTTCGTCTTTTCCTCTTGTAATCGATTTCGGTATCTCYCTTGCTAATTCTAACGCGGCAATTCTAGCAAAACCACATGTATTTGGGGATAAAAATGTCACAGCCATTTGTAGATCAACTTCTCATTATGAAGCGAATACCTTTCAAATGTAATTTTTAACAAACAAACGATGTGTTTTAGCACAAAACGACAAAAATATCTTACTGATTCCAAAACTACAATGTATTCAAAAATCCCGCTCAAACTTCACTGATGACCTGCGCAGTCAGAGATCTGTTTGATCACGTGATACCTTATTAATTTACTAAATAAAAAACAGTTGAGGCAGATAGGAATACAACTTTTTTTATTTGTTTCTCTTCATCCTTATATCGTAAAGATGGGTGTACACATCTTTGCATTTAATGCTATAAAATTACTCTATACTTACTACAAATGGGCACTGTCAGAAATGCAAGACAATAAAAAGTACGTGTGAGTGTAAATAATAGATAATTTTCCTTCAGAAAGTTCATAAATTGACAGAAAGAAGGAAATATTCTTTCAATTCAACTTGTCCGCCATTTTGAATACCCTGTTGTATCCATAGAAACCGTACACTCATATGAAAACCGCTGGATGTTTGTACCCGAGCCTGTCTTCGATTTCTTTGCAAAACTGAAAAAACTTTATCGCTCTTGAGTAAAGGCTTAAAGTTCTTCTTGGTTTTTCTTTTGTGGCTATTTTTGCTCTACTATTCATTGCTAATTAGAATCTAACTGGAAAATTGTAATATCCCTGCTAAAACTTTTGAAAAAAGTAATTGCAACTTGACTACTCATTAAAATGTTCAAAAATGATTCTTTCAAAAAAATATTATATGTTTAATATTTTWAAAAAATCATTTTTCCAGTTAGGTTTTTAAACATATAGCCTTTAGTGATAGAATAAATGTCAAAACACAACAACTTTTAGCTGTAAAGAATTTACTCAAGTCAAAAGAAAATTAATTGTTAATTATCGCAACAAATATGGTAATATTTCCTCACGTGATCACTTAGTTCAATGATTACACTTTCAAACTGTAGCCAGTACTGAAACCTATCATCTTGGCAAACATCATCAGCATACACCCATTCGATTTTTCTAAATATTTTTCTTTATTTTTTTGCTATTTTATTCAATTAGCCATTCCTTAGACATGCTGAGTGTGCCAACTTTGCAAACCTTGCTGAGTAAGCTAGGCATGAAGATGAGCACTGGGAAAGAAAAACTGACAGTTGATGAAGAAGATTTGCTAAATGATGCATTAACATTTTATAAAGGTTCAGAGTTTGACCCCAGGAAGAGATTGAGGATAAGATATCAAAACCAGCCAGCTGCAGATACTGGGGGAGTCATGAGGCAGTTTTTTACCCAGCTATTACAGTTGATCGCATGCACGTTTTTCAGTGGAGACAAATACAAATGTCCAATTTACACCTCTCAAGTAGTAGCATCAGGAATGATGAAATTCAGTGTGGTGTAATTATCATGCACAGCATCCTACAAGGTGGGCCTGGTATGCCCATCTTCTCTCCATAAGTGTACTATTACCTGGCAACGGGTAAGAGTGAAGATGCAATACAAAGGATGACCATCAGTGACTGCTTGTTAAGAATGCAGTCCTATATCACCAATGTCAGTAGTATTATTGACTTGCCACGGTGGTCAAAAACGCAATCGAAATCGACAATGTTTGCCGTTTCTTATGTTCAGCGGTCGCGCGCTTTAATCTATTCGAATTTACAAAATGGCGGTGTTTTTGAATCAGGAAGAGGTTATGGCGGAATTGTTAGATAGTAGTAATGATAGTGATAGAGTAGATGAGAAACTGAAAGCCCAGGAAGGCATATCCGAAAAACTGAGGCRATGTCTTACTGGACTTTCAGTTCCAGATACGGAAAGGAAGGAACGATTTATCAAATCTGCTGTGGGAGAACTGGTCATTTTGTGGGAGTTCAGTGCAAACAATACGAGCGCCCGATCTGTGCTGAACAGGCAAATTCATGCTGGATCACTGATCCAAAATGAAGCAAATCTATGGCTGGAAGGCATCCATCGTCGTCTCAGTGGCCATAGATCCCTTCCAAGACCGTTTTTTGCAGAGATTCACCGGTTTATTCCACGGGAATTCTTTGATGTTATGTCACGTGTCGTCAGAATTTCTCATGGCTTTGCTCCACCTAATTGCTTTCAAAGCAAAAATAAAAAAGCAGAGGTATTTTCGTTGACGACCATTCGTCTTGTGAAGGAGCTCTTCTGTCTCCTGACTGGCATGTCTGGCCCTGAAGTCATGAGTTTTTTTAAGAAAACAATCGCATCAGGCGTAAGAAGTGGACACAAAATTTCGGTCATCGTGGAAGAGAGCAAGGACTTTGCGTTCATGTACAACTACAAAAAAGGAGAACTTACAGTAAGCTATCATTATGGAGAATGGAACATTYGTGGTGGACCTCAACACAACTGAAGAACATGACTAAAAATCTTGGATCATTGACTGTTAACACTGCCTCAGCTTTTACCATAGTACTAGACTGCATTTCATTATCTAATAACATTTTCTTTTGCCAAAAATATGACCTCCTTTGACCACCAAGGACATGACAATCACTGATATTGACAGCAAAATAACTCTCTCTGTAATTTTTCCTCTACCTGTAGTGATGGTTGTACATGAATGCAAGGCTTCTATACCTGGGACATAAATGTCCCTTCTTATTTTGGTATTCAAAGAAATGATTTTAACAAGAAATTAAAGGAAACTATTATTCAAAAGTCATTGTTTTTGGTGTTGTTTCTTTTATTATTATTTTTTGATTGATAGAGCAACCTCCAACCCCTCGTCAAAGTTGTTTCTACTAGCAAGTATCTCCTGGCTCATAGCTTTTTATGACTGGGAGAGCAGCCTCAAGAAAGAAAGTTCTGTAAAAGAGATCAAACACTGTAGAGACTGTAGACTGCATACCACTCACAATTGTTTCTGCAACAAATACGACTATCCTTTAAAACCCTGCTTTTYCTCCACAGAAATGGTTATTCACCAGGGGGTTACAAAAGGGTTACACCACTTCATGCACAATTTACCTCCTTATGTATGGTGTACTTAGCTTTTTAATATTGCACTTGTTCACCTCCCCTCCCCTTGCATAAAAAATCCTAGTAATTCCCTCACCTTTCCTGATTCACATTGGCTGTGAAAATAACACAGTACTTAAAGAGTAATTTAGTTATTTGACTGTCTGACAGGTTAAGACCATCAAAAAAGAATTCTCATTTTTTTA